AGCATTTTAGTTTCCTGGAAAAATAACAAATTTTACAATAAAAGAAGTCACAGTTTGAACCTGTTATGGTAGGTTTGTTATTAGTAGTATGCTATGTATTATTAATGTTAATAATATCATGGTTTTTGCTATTTAATTTGCATAATTTAACAGTTATTTTTGAAAGCAAAATATTGCGGTATTTTTTTATTATTAAAAAATATAAACGTTTTCACGGGGTTTTAACCACCTCTAATGAGCCCACATTAAATTTTTTTTAGTTAGCTTTAGTTTTCTCGATAACGGTTGCAGATATGAAAAAATTAGAAGACATCAAAAAGTTTCTTAACAAGACGCTAAATTTAGTTTGTTTTATAGTCTACCATAGGTGCACTGCAAAGACTGGAAAAGGTTGCTGGACTCTTCCAAAAATATCACCCTGTACATTTTTACAACCATATCTATCAAGATCTTTCGAGTAAATAACTCGAAAAATACAGGAGTTGTAAAGAAAAAAAAACAAAAAAAAATCCTATGTCAACCCACCCTACAGAAGAGACTTAATAGTAATGACATTAGCACTTTGTGTCCGATAAAATAATTAAATATTAGCAGTACGTATGACAATAATAGCAATGATATATACTTAATCATCCACATACGGTTTGTTAGAACAGTGCGCAGCGCACGGCATACCCGTACAGCAGAATCTGTTGTACTCGACTCACGGCAGTTTTTGGGTGAGCCGGTTTGTTAGAATAATTCGTATTAATATTCTGTTCCTCTGAAAACAAGTTAAGAAATTAGTTTCACGTTTATTCTCTCAAAGGTTGTACGTTTCAAAAAATATAAACGAATGTTTTTCATATCTTAATACAGAAGGAGCTTTTAAATTAACAGTCGAAGAAAGATTGTTTCAAAACGAGGAAACATATCGAGAATATTTTAGACTTTCCAGGGATTTATTTGGAACTGTCTTACAATTTGTACTAGATCCACTAGTCTTTCATCTTCCTCGGGAGAAAATTTAGTAGACATCACTTAATTATTACAATAATAATAACTATACACATACAATTATAATTTCGGTATAGATGTGTACGCTGTGAGCTCAGCTGAACGTTTCCGTCCAAATCAAATCGCAGTTGATTCCAGCGCACACCATCAGCGTACGCGGTTATCGCTCTGCAGTGCGAGCAGCTCAGCAGAACCTAACAAACCGTTATCATAGAGAACCATTTCTTTGATTTTGACGAACGTGCGCGGCGTTCGCTGTGAGTTATGCGTCGCTCACTGTTCTAACAAACCATAGCTTTAGTTTCATCATCAGTGTTTATATCAGATTCTTTTCATAGTCGTCATCATCTTTCAAATTAATAATTAATTTATTAACAGGAACTAGGAATTTTTTATACTCATCTTCTTTTGCTATTACTTTTTTAATTACACCTTTCTAGTTTGATTGATCAATGGTTTCACATTGTTATTTAATTAATTTTACTACATTCGAGGCATTGTTCTTGCGTACTTTATGTTTCAATTGAGCCCATAACAGTTCAATTGGATTTAACACACAATAATATGGAGGTAGTCTTAAAACTGTGCCTTGGAAAAATATCGAACTTAGTATCGAAGTTCGGTTCGGTTCGTAATGCCCCTTTGTCCGCTTCTCGTCGATCTATGATGATAGGGTTAAATAAATGTTGAAGTTGTGGAGTAACAGTGATGATTTATTGACAGCAACTCGTAATTACACAATATGGTGTTCGTTCGGTAACTACTCAATATTGACTGTGTTCATTTGAACTCAAATCCCCAATTTATAATCTCACACATAATAGATACATAAGCACCTTAGGTCATTGCTTCGTTCATATCACACCACCTAACTTTTGCTTATAATACAATTTAATCTACGCCTTAATTGCGACACTTAGGAAGTTCAATTAGAAAATATTGTTATTCGGCAATTTATTTAGTTGTAGGTAAATGAACTAATTATTAAATTATCATACGATATGGTTTTGCAATATGTATAATGCAAACTTATATACGGTGAAACTATAAAAGATTAAGAAGTTAAGAATAATGTCTTCTTCTTTAAGTTCCATCTTCTATCGAAGGTTGGAAATCATCATGGCTATGCGGACTCTGTTGACTGCCGCTCTAAAAAGTTCTGCACTACTGCATTCAAACCATTCCCTCAAGTTCTTAAGCCAGGATATTCTTCGTCTTCCCACATTTCGCTTTCCTCGGATTTTGCCCTGCATAATAAGTTGTAATAATGCGTATTTTTGCCCTCTCATCACATGTCCCAAGTACTCAAGTTTTCGTCTTTTAATAGTTAATATTATTTCCGCCTCATTTCCTATCCTTCTAGTTACTTCCATGTTTGACATTCTTTGAGTCCATGATTTTCTTTGACATTCTTTGATGTTTGACATTCAAGAATAATGTAAGATTACAAATTAAGGGGTTAATTTGTGATTGAACATATTGGCCACTATATAAAACAAACAGACGAAAATGTTTAAACACATAAAAAATATAAATAATAATAATAATAAACATAACACTAATTCACTCGGTTTTTGAATTATTATCTCACCCGAGCAGTGCTACCTATAATTTGATTATTTAGAATTTATGTTTCAGCTAAACTATCTAATTCAAATCTAAGCTCATTAAGTGAAATTGATCTAGGAGGGGCTTTCTTTAAAGTACTACCTAAATTTGGTTGTGATAAAGTATGTCTTGGAGTTTCGAAAATATCTGACTACCTTCCACGTAATGGCAATCAACATAACAATGAATAAAGTGACCAGTCCCGTGGTTAAATGAGGAATCCACTGATGGTTAGCAATGGTTTTCCACGTGTGTTCTGATATATCTTGGTCAAACTGCTCTGCCTCAAGTGTAATATTTGGCAAATCATCTCCCCGAATATCTATATTATGTTTGGGAATGTTGTTCTGCCTTATGATTGGCCTCTGCATAAGCTCTGCAATGGGACTGACGGGAGTCTTTAAGTAGCTTCCAATTGCTGTTTCCAATCCGTTACTGGATGTGAGTAACGTTATGTTTCGAGTCTGAGCAACGCATTTTGGTGACAGTTTTATAAAACTCGTTTGATCGATTATGTGTTCAGATCGAGAACCATCGCACATTATAGCTAAATTTATAGCGTATGGTGGAATGACTAACCACAGATTCGGTGTGCTCATTTTCAACCAACTGGCTTCCTTTATCGTGTATTCTATTATATTACAAGTGGTATTGGTCGTTCTATCATATAATTCATTTAAGATACAGTTTGGCTGAGTATCCATATTAATGATTCCCATTGGTGAACATGCCAACTCTCCTTTGTTTAATTCTATACACCTTCCTTTTTATTCATATGTCACTTCAAAATAATGTAAGTTATTGTAATCTACTGCAAGTAGATTCCTTGGGACCAACAACGAGCGCACAACACCACCTCTCACCGACAACGGAAGAGCTGTGACTCTCAGTAGGTTGTATCTAGTGTTGTCAATTGTTAGGAAATAGCCAATAATGACGATGTCTCCTTTTTCATTTTGTACGCCCGTATCTATTATTGGTTTCCTTCTTATATCTACTCCTTGTGGAAGGAACCTTGTAGCATTCGAAATGATTGACTCTATTTGTCCAGGTTTTATAATGTCTATTAAGTGTCCATGATTGTAATGAAGATTTAATATTTTTTCGTATGTGTTCGAATATTCTTTTGCATATTCCATCGCACGGTTATAAGTCGTTTCCACTTTAAGTCGTATGTGCTCCTTCTCTAATGTATCAGCTCTATATGAGACATCACTAAGCCCCTTAGACATTTCCCTAGTTCCGTTTATCAGTGCTTCTCGGAACCTATTTAGATGTCCGTTTATTCTTTCCTTTGTAGAGTTAATCGAGGCTATTGTTTGTAACATCAGCTTCGTCTGATGTTTTGAATATTTTATTAGATCCTTCTGATTTTCGTCCAAGGAATCTATATCCCTGTATACTTCATCATTTACCCCAAATACTGATGTGAGGACTGTTCCTAGAAAACCCCTCTTCGGCCTTCTTTTGACTTCCAGATCTAAAGCTCGACTTATCATTGTTGCTCGTTCTTGTTCCTCCATTATTCGTTGCAAAGTTGTCAACAACATACTGTAATTATGTAGTATAATATGGCATGGTAAATAATATTTATTTTTAAATATTATTTTCATCAAGTATTTTTCTACAAAAACTATTAATTTTAAATCAAGATATTGTAAATTTAATGTTTAAACTACAAGAAAAAAGTTGTAATAACCGTTTCAAAAGTTCTCACAAAATTGTGTTCATCTGTGACTGGACTATGTGTTTATGGTTGATACCTTAACTTAACGATACCACTCAAATACAAATGACTTTGTAATCAGTATAAAATAAAGCTTTCCGCAATTATTTTTTTGATAACTATAAGACTATAAGTGCTTACTATGTTGGGATAGTCTCATGAGATTTTTCTTGGTTTTTGCTCATGATTGACAATGAGATCACTAACGATAGAATTTTACTGTTATGATTAAGTGTGGTTGCCTTTTTGAAGACAGATCGCAGCCTATAAATTGTTTCTCAGGTATTCTCAAGTTAAAGTTAATTTCATGTAATCAGATAAACTATACCTCAATAAAGTCGTCTCAGGAACGTGTATAAAAAATATTGACAATATCTTTTTAAAGACTTTTACTTTATCATAAGTCTTTTTTATTAAGAATGACGCAGATACAATTAAATTACAAGAATATTTATAATACCATGTCACAAAACAAAATTATTGGTTTAATTTGTATTTTGAAAACGATTTCCGAAGTGAAACTCAAAACATCAAAATAAAGGTACTTTAGTAGTTAATTCACATTAAAGCAGTATGAAAAAAATTATAGCTGGATGTCTACTAATTGACATATAGTTTTACGTATATGTTTTTATTTCCTTGTTAATTGACATTTTTCATATTTTTTTAGGTATACTAATTGCTTATCTACTAGAAGAAATTCCAAGCTATTTTTCAATATCATCTGCAAAAATTATTTATCAAATACTTCTGGGAGTTATCTTGTCAACAGCTACTTACAGTTTCTATCTGTTTGCTCCTCTTGCCTATGGTATGGTTGGTCCGTCATCAAATGAACCAAACTCTACCATGGCTGGACTAAGATGGATGGAGAGTTGGGAGTTTTAAAAAATAAATTAGTTTACTTAGTATAAAAGACGATATTTAAAACAATAAATGAAACAAAGTTAGTTTTGTAAATTTAGGACGTTTATAAATGTTTATCTTATTCTTTGATAGAACAAAGTTGAATCTCCTTTTAAGTATGTTCGTTTCATTTATTGCGTTATTTAATTTTATAGACTGATAAAAAGTTCTGACGTTCCATGCAGCTATCTTAAAAGTATTTACTACGATGTTTCTATCAATTCGCATATTTACTGCGCAATGCCTGGTATCAACCGTTGTGTGGTCGGTCACTGATTTTATATCGTCAATCCCGAGAACTTGACGACGCCAGTTGCTAGTCGGCTCACATAGCACATTATTTTTAAATTTCTTACTCGTCATAATAATTTTACAAAGGATATGTAAAGTGGTAGTGATCCTATGGCTTTCCACATCCTTTTGCCGTTGTCTACTTAGTAGCTCTTCTGACTAAAAGCTTTTGGCTAGTAAATGGGAGATTGTTATACCGGCAATCACTCGATTCCTATCTGCGTTAGCCATCGACTTGAATGTACCCCGTACCGATTCATAAAATAAATCATATGACCTAGGCGGGAGCGATGATACTATAACAAACAAGGTATGCTTACTTGCCGTTCTAATTTTAATCGACTTTGCGCATAACGTCATAGCGAGACAAAACCAGGGGACTTATGTGTATCTTATATTAACGATGCATTATATGGCAACGTTTTCATTACTGTAATGAACAACTTCGAAACTTAAACTGTTAACGGTAAGTATACCTCGATGCCATATCTTGCACTTCTTCTTCTTAGGGTGTCTGTCCGTTCCGAACGTTGGCGATCATTCTGGCTATGATGATTTTGTTGGTTGCTATACGAAATAGCTGTGTTGAGGTCTTTCTATACCATGCTCTCAGGTTAGCAAGCCAGGATATTCTTCTTCGTCCTGGGGCTCTTTTTCCTTCAATTTTACCCTGCAAAATGCATTGGAGTAGCTCGTATCTGCGTTGATTTCTCATAATATGTGCCAAGTACTCCAGCTTACGGCTCTTCACAATGTTGACCAAATCCGCGGTTGTGTTCATCCTCTGCAGTACTTCTTCATTGGTGCACTAAGAAGTCATAACTAGTTACTTTCTGTGAAAACGTGGTTTGAAAATGAATAAGTAATTTGTAAAATTAATTAAAGAAATATATGAATCTACGATTTGATTGTTTGTATTACAGACAAAATAAGTATTGCTACAAAACATAAATTAAATATAAAAGGTATGTAAAATGTAAAGGATTTGAAATATAAAGGAAAAGTGTATCATACTTCAGACTTTATGAATATCATTTGGACATTATTTATTTTACAATCTTCTTGATTTTTCTCTTAATGATATTGGGAATATATAGGATATAGGATAGAATATATAGGATATTGTAATTATCTTTAATATTTTTATTTAGAATCCGTATTTTAAAATACATTTTACATCTTCGTTAACATTTACATATTTTGCAGCTTCTATTAATGTGGTTTACCTTAATGTGGTTATTTTTAATGTGGTTTACCCAAGTAAACGATTTATCGTTAGCGTCCGGAATATATCCAAGTATTTCTTTTTTTTTAACTTTAAACTTTTAAACTTAAACGCAATAAAACCGGCTAAATTTTCCAATCCATCTCATTCCGGGTCTTTTATATTCGAATTAATAAAATATTGATGATTGTCAATTAAATCTTCAGGGTTAATTTCTGTATCACCGCTAGGAAGGTTTAGGGAGGAAAATATCTCTTCAATGAAAATTTCACAATTATACTATTAGTAATATTTTTTTTACTAAAAGTATTACTTTTTTATTATTATTGTTTAAACAACCCACCACTGCACAATACATTATGGCAAACAAATAATTAGTCTTCTTTATAAAGTAGCTACAGGTAGTCGAGAGGAAGTTACGTACGATAAACAAATTAGGTGATATTAACACAGTAAACTGAATGTTTTCACCACAAAATTTATATAACAATATAATATACAAAGTCTTTACTACATTAATGAATAAATAAAAATATCATTCACTACGTTTTGAAGTACACAAGATAGCAAACTCGATTAACACAGCAACATAATTAACATGAACACTTATGAGCATTTAACTTGCCGTCATTAAAGTTGTCTCGGGTTTACGTCACAGCTGTGCGAGAGAGATGCAAGAACATGCGCGTTGACTTATATTGTTTTGTTATAGTATCATGGGCGCGTTTTTAACACATAAACAAAGATTGTCAAAACGCGGGAGCCGTGTTGGTGGCAGTTAATAGGTTAGACCTTTCGGCATTTCTTAATTCCTCCAGAGCTTTGGAGAGACAATTAGGTATTAAAAATGCCAATTTAAAATTATAATAAAAATTGGCATAATTATTTACCCTGTACACTGTACCCTCTAACAGCTTATTATTTGGAATTCCAAAATAATTTCCGCGAGTACATTTATTTTAGTTGCTTGAGGTATGAAATTTTTTCTCAAAGTTGTATTATAGTTCCCAAGATATAGCCAGTGGCCAACGTTGTTGAGACTCCCTATATACATATAATATTCGTGTACTGTTAATTCTCAAAAATTTATTTATTTTTATATATATTTGTAATAAAGATGTAATAGAAAGTAGTATATGAAGATAATAAAAAGCAATTTTGTTTAAATACACGTTGATATTTATATTCAAATTAGTTACCTTCTTACCTACCTTTATTATAAATTCAACACTAGGTAAGACTAAAAGTAGCGTCTTGATTTGCTAAAACAAATTAAGCTGACGACGGCATCTTATCTTATATTGTGTAAAATTCTTAACAAAAAGTGAGATAATCTCAATAATCAATATTTTCATTGTTTTTCTTTTTTATTGTATTAAATCCATAGAAATATTCTGTGGTATAGTTTATCTAGGCACAATTTTCCAACATAAACACGCCTCTTAATGCTATTAAAGAGACCGTCTTTCGAATCAAGATTCTCAGATAGATTTCATAAAATTCCTAAGTTTATATATTATGAAAATGTTCTCTCTACTTTAGTACTACTCCAATTTTTTCTTACTCTCTCTAAATTTTCTAGTAAACGGGAGTAATCTCCTCATATCCTTCTCCAATAATTTCTCAATTCGGACTCAGAGTAAACCCATTCACTACTTATTACTTTTAATTGAAATTACTTCAAATCATTGATTTATGCATTCGTAACAACTTAGTTTACTATTATACTCGCATACGAGGCCCAAACTAAAAATATTAACGAAGGAAATAACATCAATACTTAAAATGACACATATAACAATGAAATGGGAAATGCTGAGTATATTATTACGAGACAAGAAAAAATCGACCTAATACGAAACAAATAAAAAGGAAGAGACAATAGAAATAGTCACAAAACTAGAATATGACATATTGCAAGACCAGACTATAATAGATAAGTATATAACAGTTATTAAATGATGACCATATTGAGGAAAAAACAAATAGTGTATGGAAGACCGCATACATGGTTGTAAGAAAATCTAAAAAGATCTTCTTCGTTATGTGCCTTGTCGTGAAGGGGTCATTTCCAATACTGCGAAGGGAGTATTTTTTATAAACTTTAGTAATAATAATTGATCATTATATGCTGAAAATCTATATGCAGGAGGTAATGCACAAGTAATATTATCTTAATTGGTTCATTTTTTTCGAAAAGTAAAATATCAGTAGAAGAAGAATTCTACTCTAAAAGCGATTATAAATTATTAAAAGAAAAAGACTTGTATTAGTAAATGCTATCAAAATTCGGCGAAAAACTTACTGACTTTATAAGCCTACAGCTACTATCCAGCATTTGTGACCATTTATTTTTAAACTTTTAAAAGAAATTTAAAATATCTAGTGTATTCACTTGAGTGTACACCTAAAAAGGTTTGATACAATAATTTTTTGATTGTGTTATTTTTTAATTTATTAATTTGGTATGTATTGCTTTAAATACCATGAAATTAATAAAATAATTAGATCTACAATCAATAATAAAAATAATGAATATTTTTTTCAAAAATTTTCTTTTAATAATAAAAAATACATTAATTTATCTGTTTGAAATTTCAAGTAATAAAAAAATTTTTAGATTTGTAGAAATAAAACTACATAAAATATACCTAAGAATAGTAGACGAAGCTGTCCATCCAAGGATTAGTGCAGTAAAAAAGTAAAACACCCAGCAAGTTATGCGGGAGAAAATTATGAAACCGGAAGTTTTTACTACTAGGAACTAGAAAATAATCAGAAAATAGAAATAGAATAATAGAACAGAAAATCATCTTATGTTAAGCTGTGGTGTCTTAGTGGGGAAGTAAATTTAAAAAACTCATCTAAATGATATGTAATATTTTATTTCAAGCGTTATTAAAAATTCATATTAAACAGCTTATGTGTTAGCCAAATTATTTACTATCATAAAGATTATTATTTCTAAACTGTTTTATAATGTTATTGTAAATAATGCTGCCCTTTTTTAGTGAGCAAGTAAGTAAGAGATTCAATAAAATCAATAAAAATAATATTGTTAGACCATACAAAAATGTAAAAGTAAAATAATACCTACTGCAAATGTATATAAAGTGTATATATTTTAATCTAATTTTTATAACTCTACTCATTTAATCTTCTGTTCCGTTCTTCAAATATTGAACTCATATCTTGTATCGATATAATTAGTGTGTAACATGCTGGTGTGGTATGTAACGCTGTTTCTAAGTCCTCATAACATTCTTCAATTTCTTCATCCGAGTGAGTCGTCGTTGGAGAATATATCTGGATTACCTTAAAGTTATAATTTGCATTTGGTTTAAAGACGAGGTATACAATCCTCGGGCTTATGCTAATAATTTCAACTATATTTGTGTATGCTTTCTATGTATAATAAATCCTACTCTACCATTTGAAATGTTTTCTTCTTCTCTAAAATGAAATACGTGTCATGATTCAAGAGTAATTGGTGCTTCTAGTCTTTGTCTTATTTCGCTGAGGCCGATGATGTCCCATTTTATTCTTTCCAGCTCTTCCTTCAATTCCATCATCTTCTGGTCTGATATAAAAGTTCTAA